AAGATACTCCCCAGGTTTAAAACAGCGCTGTGGGTATGCAGAGACCCCGGCAGTGACTGCAGTTTGTGTTTATATTCACATTCTCGTATTTTGCCTCAAAGGATCGTTTCGAAGAAAAAACCCACGAGGTTTGGCCTTTGCCATGTGTAGGATGATTAAAAATTAGGTGTACATAAGAAATTTGCACACGAGAGAGTGTTCCCTGGCCACCACTGAGAGGCCAGTCTAGCACTGTGCACCACATTAACGGCTGAAAAAAGGAAGTTTCAAAGAAAATGGAGAAGAACGAGTCCAGTTCCAGCCCCACCAAGTCAGGCCAGTACTTTAAAACAACAAATGAACATTCAGAGTTTTTATTTTGAAGACCCTGGTTTCATTGAGTGACCCTGCATTTTTAGTTACAGAAGGGAAAAATTCCTGCTTTATCCCCAAAACAAAACTGTTTCCTTACTGACCTGATGTTACAGGGCTGTGACCCAACCCAAGTCAAGGTAAAGACTCTAAATAGAAGTTTGTATTTATCGTGCAGTTGTTTAAAAAGCCAGCATATATTTTAATACACAAGATATGTTGACATACCCAAGCCCAGACCTTTGTTCCTATTATTTATTGTATGTTAGCACAAAGCCAGCTGAAATTAATTTGTTTTCCTCCCTTTGCTTTGGATTTCTTGGCACAAAGTAATGGCTGAGGTCCTTGTAGCAGCTTTTTTTGTCTTTAGATGGAAGACAACAATATCTGCTGTAAGCCTGGAAATTCCACTCATTAATTAACAACTCTCCTACAATGCACATCTGCAGAATTTTGCTTTGTTTCTATCTCTGGCGTGTTTATTTCTGCTAAAACACAATCTCACCCCAGCGTGTGGATGTTCTCAGGCCAGGACGTGTCAGTGGGATTAGGAAACAGCATTTTGCAGGCTGCAAATGTTCTGCTCTTGTCTGGGCAGCACAACAGCGTGTACTTTTCAGTTCAGAACAAGGATGACACAAGGTCTGGCTGTTTGTCCTCGCTATCTTTGAGATAATTAAAGAAACATCTTGTCTTCCAGAGCTGGTTTTGGGGTCAGGCTGACACACTGAGCCTGGGGGAGCAGGGAGTGTCAGTGATAAGCCATTCCTGAGTTTGTGCAGGAACTGTTCCACTGAAACAAATCCAGTCATTTGGAGGCCAAGCAGGAACACGGGGGTATTTTTTAAATCAAAAGGAAAAATACCCCAAACACCACAAAGTCCAGCTTGCAAAATTCTGTGTTTCACTCTTCAGCTGAAGAACCCTGGCTGTTTCCTCCCTGGAGTGGAAGGAAAGGAGATGTTCCCTGAGCTGTGGGAACCACAACAGACAGAAGCACTCGAGTTCCTGCTGCAGCCTGAAGACACAGCACAGACTGAATGCTGAGGATCTGTCTCAGCCCTTTCTCATCACCACCCGAGATTCCTTCAACAGGAGCTACTTCACTCCTTCAAATGCTGAGTTTTAAACCCTCCTCCTTTTCAGAGGTCTCGATGTGACATTTGTGACTCCTCAGCATGTGACACTGCGTCACCCTCAGTTACTCACGGGCAGACTGGGATATTTTATCTGCCTCCAGGACGGTGCTGTGCTCACCCTGATGTGCTGCAGCCCCAGAGGCAGAGCCCTCACACACAGAGCTCCCAAGCCCACCCTGCTGTGCCACGTGGGGACACACTCAGTGACCTGCACTGCACCCTCTCGTGACCTGCACACAGCAGGGACAGCAGCTTTCTGTTGTGCAAGTGTCTGCTCTGTCTGGATTATTCCACTTCCTCCAGGTACTCCAAAGATGGCTGCGATAAATCCCAGCTTCCCTCGTGTTCCCAGGGAGCTGTGTTCCCCAGATCCTGCTCAGCTCCCCACCACGCTTCTGCTGCCACGGTGACAGCACCTCAGAGCTTTCCCCAGCCACCTTTATTTTTCACTCAGCACCTCCACTCCCTCTCAGAGCAAACATTAATCCAGCCCAGGGAAGCAGCTCCATCTGTGCTGGCACTGCCACAACCAGCAGGTCCCAGTGAAGACAAAGCCTCCAGAGCTTCATTAGCCCCAAATTAAGATGCTCCCAGCTGTGGCTGAGCTGGATCTCAGCACACACACGCTCCTGCCCGGGTGTTTCAGTGGAGCTGCTGAGCGTGGATGCTGCAGGAAGTCTGCAGCACGGATGACTCATTTGTTAAATCAGCAGTGAACCATTGCCCCAGTTTTATTCCACAGTGACGAGTTTCCGGCAGTGGGTGACTTTCAGTAAACGCAAGATGTTTACTTTGTGTGGCTCCAAGAGCCCCGTGACACACTTGAAACTCGTTAGACGTTTCCACCTGAGCCAAACATTAACCAGATTGTTAATCTAAGTTTCCTCATGAGGGAAATGTGCGAGTTTGTGTTTTCTTTAAAACCTGCATGAAAGCACCGGGTGTACAGTAATGTTTAGAGTATCCTTTATTCTGCCTGGCAGAGGACCCGTGTTCATTAAATAAAGCTCAGGATATTCACAGCAGTGAGCTACAGGAACTGAGCAGACATTTGAACCTCTGCAGGGTAAACAGAGAAGAGGCTCAAGAACCCAAACAATGTGATAAAACCACACATTTTTATCACTTAAATCTCCTTGTAAGTATATTGATATAAGCTTTAGACATGAATTCAGTTGGTGTCCACCAGCACCTGAGTTAGATCAGCTCCAGAACACAAGTTCCCTCCTCTGCACTGCTGGAGCTCGAGTGTGAGATCACATCCAGCACTGCACTGGTGTGTGTGGGTGTGCACAGCACCCAGCAAGCAGCACCAGGAGTAAAACCACACCAGACACCGACACAGCACTTAGCCAGACCCCGAGCCTGGGGGGTCTGAAGCGGCTTTGTCCCAGCTGACAGCTTTTCCCACTCTGGAGAACAAACACATCCAGGCACGACGGCCGAGTCACACCCTGTTTTCTGCCTCAACAGCTCCGCGTTCAAACCCACAGCGGCTCTGAGTCACAGGGCCCTGCAGGAACCTTCAGCCCGTGGAAATCTGTAAATCAATATGCCTGCTTCACGTCCTAGCAGCAGGAAAACAGTTCTACCTGAACCCTTCCCTCCACAAGGGCAGCAGAGAGGTGTTTGTGCCGCAGGCCAGGGCACAGGAGAATCCCTCAGCCAAGCCCTGTTTGCTCAGGAGCTGTGCTGGACACAGCAGTACAGCTGGGGTTTTTTCTGAGTGTTTTCTCTATGAGTGCAGTAAAGAGTCACTCACCGTGGCTCTCTGAGTCACACCTTGTCAAGGTGAGCAGTGCCCGGCCCTCAGCCCCATCTGCACCACCCCGTTTCCAAATTCAGCCAGCAAACACAAGAGTCAGAGGAAGAGGAGCAGTCCCTGTGCCCGCACAGCACAGACACCCTTCCAGCAGGGGCTGGTGTCTGAGTGTCCCAGCACAGCCCCAGGGCTCTTCACTCTGCTCTGCAGACAGAACACCACTCCTGAGCAATACCAGTCCCTTTCCTCAGCATTGCTTCACCCCTGGGTGTGGGGTGTTCCCAAAGCAGGGTTATTCCAGCAAAAATCCTTTACATTACAGGAGTCAGCTCTCATGGTTTTCCTTTAGTTTGGAGGACAATTTTTGCTATAAATCAGAGTCAAATTAAAAGCTTCTAACTGTGCTGCCATAATATTTCTTTCCTATAACACACATTCCTGTGACACAACAGTTCTCCCTGCAGACAGAGGAAACTTGTGTCTGTATTTCATAGGATGCTGCTGGATGGGAAGCTGTGTCAGAGAAGGGAATAATTTGGGATTGGATGCTGCTGTTGGAACTCAGGACCAGCATAAAGAATCTTTCTGTTTTTCTCCTGCTCTTTACAATCTTGTACCTGCTCCTGCAAATTTCTCAGTTCCTGGAAACAGAAATGGAAGAATTATTGTTTGAGACAGAGCTGAGAACCCACCATCTCCTGTGCTCACACCACAGTGATGCCGCTCATCGTCAGTGGTGTCCAGACGCTCTCCCAGCCCGGAAGGGTCGGGCAGTCCCTGCAGAGCCAGGGACCCCCCTTTTCCCGGCCGGGGGCCAGGAGGAAGCGCTGAGCTCCCGGCTCTGCCTCCTCCTCAGGCTTTCCCCTGGAGAGGGCAGCCGAGCACCGCCGAGCTCCGGCGGCTGCTGCCAAACCCCTGAGCGCAAGGGGCAGGAGGCAAAGCGGGACTTGGAGAGGACGGGGTGTGACCGCTCGTGGTGCCACCGAATGAGGGACTGGGATCGGCTCTGCCTCCTCCTCAGGCTTTCCCCTGGAGAGGGCAGCCGAGCACCGCCGAGCTCCGGCGGCTGCTGCCAAACCCCTGAGCGCAAGGGGCAGGAGGCAAAGGCAAATTTGGAGAGGACGCTTTGGCATCACCGCTCGTGATGCCACCGAATGAGGGACTGGGATCCAGCAGGAGGGAAAGTTGAGTTCCCAGCTGCAGAAGCGAGGTGCTGGTGCTGGGATGGGGCTGTGGGGTGGCCCTGTGGGTGGCAGGGCGAGGTAAGGAGCACCCAAGGGCTGAGGATCACATCTTTGCTTCGCTTCCAGGGCTCCCCACTACAGCCTGTATGTTACATCCAACTACAATGTGGCCAGTTCCTTTGGGATCTGGGGCCAGCTTGCCTGTCCCCCCTGCCGCGGTGACACTGTCCCTGGTGTCACCCCGCAGGGCAAGCTGTCCCTGCTTTCCAAAGGCATCATCTCAGCCAGGCAGCTGCTGCCCAGCCGAGGGGGAAGTGGAGGAAGGATGAAGGACGGATGGGAGCAGTACAGCAGCGACCACAGCCCCTGCAGCCCCTCTGACCACAGGGATGCTGTAGCTGAAGACCTTAAGGCATTTTCCTTCCACTTGAAGAGAGAAAATCACCTCGTTCCTCTGGCATGAGCGTACGGAGAAATTCAGTGGCACAGGTGAGATTTGTGCTGCTCATGGAGCTGCAGGCACAGACAGCAGATTTCTGAGCTTGCCCTTAGACCTGCACACAACCAGGTACATCCAGATTTTTCCACATCTGCCTCCTTGCTTCTTTCCTCCCCATACTCTTCCATGTTCCCAGAGAAATCAGGAGGAGAACCTGAATGTCTCTTGCCTCAAACTCTGCAGCTACATGGAGAAATGAGAGGGACTGGGAGGACAATTTCAGCGAGCCAGAGGGTTTGGGTGGTTGTAGATGTGGCACGAGCAGGCAGCAGAACACAACACCCAGAGGAGAAGGGAGGAAGGAAAGAAAACCCGACACACATTCTGCGAAAGAATGTGACAGAGAGCGAGGAAGCAGAGGAAGGATTCACACTGCTGGATTTCCAACCCAGGGGAATAAACCAGAATGGTTCAGCAAACCCAGATGAAACCAGAAGTGCCGTGAGAGGAGAGGGAAGCAGCGCTGCCCGCAGCTGCAGCAGCTGCCCTGAGAGCCAGAGCCATGGGAAGCCCCCGAGCGTCGGTGGGGAGGTGAGTGCTTTGTGTTTGCTGACCCACAGCATCCTGCAGCCCTGGGCTCCTTTTTCACACTGGAACACATCACCCCTGAGAGCCCCGGGTGCTGCCATGCTCAGGGCAGGCTGGGGAGGCTCTGCTGCACCGGGAGATTCCTGGGATTCTCTGTCAGCTCTTTGGGGTAAACTGCAAGGCAATGTGTAACAGAGGGTGGGAAATTGGTTTTTAGGATGGATCCTTTCTTAAGGAGAAGATGAAAGGTAAGTGCTTCATAGCAGACTGTGGGTTAACTCTTTACAGCTGATTTGGGGAATTTTTGATGTTGGAACTGGAGTGATGGGACAAGGGGGATTGGGTTCCAAGAAATTCTTCCCTGTGAGGGTGGGGAGGCCCTGGCACAGGGTACCCAGAGCAGCTGTGGCTGCCCCTGGATCCCTGGCAGTGCCCAAGGTAGGTTGGACGGGGTTTGAAGCAACGTGGGATAGTGGAAGGATAGCACTGGATGGGCTTTAAGGTCCCTTCCAGCCCAAAGCATTCCCTGATTCTCTGTATTTCCAGATGTCTCATGGGGATGTGATGCTGAGTGCAGTGTTTATGATGGTTTTGGTGCAGTGAGAGCAGCCCTGGTTTGCCCTGCTTTGTACCCAAACTGGCACTTGCAGCTGCTCTGCACCCACCCCTGGGTTTCACTGTCCCCTCAGGCAGTCACACATGGGCAGAGCTGATAAATAATCAAATAATCTTCAGTGTGACCTTTGAGGCAGACAGGTGTTACATCAGGGAGGGAATTCCACTCGGTGTCATTTCATGTGGTCAGGACAAACCAGGGTAAACAGCTAATTCCAAAATAATGGAAAAACTTCTGCAACTAAACCAGAAAATCACATATAAACTAAAATGTTTTTAAAGCAAAAGATACTTTGCTTCTTCAGCAAGTGAAATTTTCAAGCATTAGTGACAACTTTTTGCATAAATCACCACACTTGTTCGTAGTAGGTGATCATTTAAGACATTTTCTTATATTGTAAAGCTCAAAACTCTCAGATATTCTGAACATGAAATATTCAAGAGCAGCGCTTTCAGAGTGCTGCAGGCGCAATGCACTGGCTGACTGCAGCAGGAAAATTGAATTTTACATTATCTAAGCTAGTGGTAGGTAACTTTTTAATCAGCAGGATGCTGTGCTGGCTCTGTGAAGGCAGAAGGATCCCAAGTGGAGCAGGGATGGTGCTGCTGCAGGGCACTGGAATCAGCCACAGCGAGGAGCTGAGGAGGAAAAGGGCTCCTGCATTTGGAAATTTAATTTCCCCCAAAGCCAGCTGGAGCTCTTAGGCTGGAGTGAGCGGGCTGGAAGCAGAGTGATGGGAGGGGAGGTTTCACTTTGCAGTCACTGGGGCTGTATCAGGAATTGTTGCATTCCCAAGTATCTTATCTGGGTTCTGTCCCTCATAACTCCTCATTCATTCACTGCTGTTTGCTGGGGCTCTCTCTTGTTGCTGGGGGGTTCCCCATTGCAAGGACACCTTATTTTGGCAAAATGTTCCCTACCCTGGGCCTTCCTGCTGGCAGGAGATGCCAGAGTTCATCCTGTGCAGAAGCTCAGGCTGAGCAGCTGCACTTCCAGGGAGCCAGCCCCTCTGTGCCACAGCCCCTGCAGCTGGAGGAGGCCACCAGGCACTTGGCTCTTTCTTGTTGAGCTGAGCTGTCAGCCCATGGGACTCCCTGGGCTTGCCTGGGGCTGGAATTCCCCAGGAGGTGGAGATGCTGCTCTTGGAAAGGGGGTTTCCACCCTGGAGGTGGGATTTGCCCCATGGGGGATGCTGCAGGTCAGCTCTGCCCCAGCAACCAGATATGGGCTGGCACTTTTCCCAGGAGCTAAGCCAGGCAGGGGGCAGAGGCCAAGGTCAAACAAATCTAGAGGCCCATCTGACAAGAGGAAAATGTCCCCTGGGCAGAAAAAAGCAGCTTTGTGCCCAAAAAAGCCAAAAAATGAGGGACGGGCAGTGCAAGGAGAGGAGCTCTTGGCACTGCCTGTGTTTTCATGCTCGTGCAGAGGAGCTCTGTCCTGCCCTCAGGGACACGGGAGCTGCAAGGAGGGTCTGGGGAGCAGAGATCTGTCCTTGTCATTCAGCCTGAGACAGAACAGGGGGAGGAAGATCAGGGCTGGCTGATTGCTGTGAGCCCAGCACAGACTTTGAAGCTGAGGCTTGTCTGAGTTTTTGCAGCTTAGTGCAGAGAGCTGGGCCAGGACAGGCAGCACAGGAGTTATTTTAACATTGTAAGCAGCATAACATCAGGGATGGCATTTTGCTGCCTTCTCCCTTGCCTGGTGTTCAGTGGTTTCCAGGCTCCTAAGGATGTTAGCTGGATATTGCACAACTGCAGGTTTGAGGATTTATGATGGTCCTGGGAATGCTGGCTGCAGGTAATGGATGCCAAGGTGATGCTGGAGGCTGCTTAATGAAGAAATGTCTTGGTTTGGATGCTGGGCTTTGGCTGGGGAGGTTTGGAAACTCGAGGCAGTTGGTCCCTGGTGAGCCCTGCTGTATGAGAAGTCCATCTGTCTGCTAAATCCATCTCTCTCCAGAGGGAGGGATGTTGTCAGGTTTAATAACAGCAGTTGGTAATTCCTGCTGCCTGTGAGGTGTTCCTGAGAAGGGCTGCAGGAAACGAGAGCGCTGAGGTCTGAGGGCAACACCCTGCCCCTGTGTTGTTACCCCATGCAGGAGCCTGATGTAAGAGGAGGGCAGCTTGCTGCAACAGCCAGCCACACGTCAGCCCAAAGTCCAGGACTCCTCCAGCCTGGAACACCAAGAAATCCCAGTGAGGATTGCCCTGCTGGGCCTGAAACCTGCACTGAGCTCCTGCAGCCACTGCTGCCCCTGAAACCTGCACTGAGCTCCCTGCAGCCACTGCTGCCCCAGCCCTGAAGGCAGCAGGAGTCAAATGTGGGGCTGGGGCTCTTCTCTGTCACCTCCTGGGCAGCCTCTCGAGTCATTGGGGGCATTTTGCAACTCCTGAAACACAGGAAGGGAGATGAGTGTGGGGGAGATCAGTGGGGAAGGAAGTCCCCAGGCCATTATAAAGCCATGTTTTCTAAACCCATCCCTGCTGAGATGTCGTGCACAGAGGTTTGCTGGGCAGTGCTGGCTGGTGTCACCTCCAGCAGCAGCTGAATTTCACACAGGTGGCTGGAACCCACAGCCCTGCCCCTGCTCTGTGGCTGTCACACATCCTGGCCTGCCTCGTGTCTTTGGGACATTTCCTCTTTCACAAGAGAGCCCAGGCAGTGAGGGACAGTGACTTGTTTGTTCTGGGGGAAAGGGAACGCTGTCAGCTCTGTGCTGTCCTCCAGCAGAGGGAACTCACGATCCCACTGCCTGCATGAGGGATCCTGGAATCTTTTGGGAAGGGGGGTCCTGTTCCATGGGCCCTGAGCAGTGAATCCTGGAGGAGTGCTAAGAGTTGGCCCAGGATTTGTACAATTCTCAGCGTTGCTGCTTCCCTCTTGTGGTGTACCACCGAGGTGGTCCAGCCAGGGTGCCCCTGGGCTGAGGGAAATGGGTCTCAGCCAAACAACCAGTGGGACAAAGCCTGAGAAAAACATGGAACTTGGTTCCAGCATTGGGGCTGTGGACCTGAAAGCAGCTCTCTGTGGGCTCATTTCATTTTGCTTGCTTCCCTCTAAAGGGAGGGAAGTGTCTGCTTGTTAAGTCCTCTTCACCTCCACCTTTTTCAGAGCATCTGAAGAAGTGCAGAAGGAAGCAGAGGGCTCTCTGTGAGCTCCCAGCTCCAGGTGACCACCATGGATTCCTGCAGGATACCTGCCAACGCCTCCAAGTGCAGTGGGAGCACCATGGAGTGCTTCATGGTGCTCAGCACGCAGGCACAGAAGATAAGCATTGGCATCCTGTGTGGCCTCTTTGGGACAATGTGTGTTTTTGAGAACTCCCTGGTGCTCTACCTGATTTTCTCATCCCCTGGGCTCAGGAAGAAGCCTTCCTACCTCTTCATCGGCAGCCTGGCCCTGGCTGACATCCTGGCCAGCATCATCTTTGTCTGCAGCTTCGTGAACTTCCACGTGTTCAACGAGGTTGGTTTCTCCAAGGAGGTGTTCCTGCTGCAGCTGGGAGGGGTGAACACCTCCTTCTCTGCCTCCCTCAGCAGCCTGCTGCTCACAGCCCTGGACCGCTACATCTCCATCAGCCGGCCCTCGGAGTACAAGCTCCTGATGACCAGGAGAAGAGCCTGGATGGCCCTGGCAGTGCTCTGGCTGACCTGTGCCACCATTGCTTGCCTGCCCCTGCTGGGCTGGAACTGCTGCGTGCTGGATTCCTCGTGCTCCGAGCTGTTCCCCTTTGTGGATGACAATTACCTGTCGGGCTGGCTCTGCTTCGTCGTGGTGCTGCTGGGCTGCATCGTCTACGCCTACGGCCACGTGCTCTGGAGGGCTCGCCAGCACGTGGCCTACATGGAGCAGCACCAGGCACAGGCAGGGAAGCAAAACACCCGGATGAGGATGGACGTGATGCTGGCCAAGACCCTGGCCATGGTGCTGGCTGTCCTGATGCTCTGCTGGTCCCCCGTGCTCGTGCTGATGATCTACAGCGTCTTCGGCAGGCTGAGCCACCGCCTGCGCAAGGTGTTCGCCTTCTGCAGCACCCTCTGCCTGCTCAACTCCATGGTCAACCCCATCATTTACGCCCTGCGCAGCAAGGAGCTCTTCTCCTCCCTGAGGAGGGTGTTGTCCCACTTCAGGAGGCAGCTGAAGGCCCCTGAGGAGAGCCCAGAAGCAGAGAGCACCCACAAGTCCTCCGTGATAGAGACCGTCTGCGAGGACACGCACGCCATGTAGGGAGGCACCGTGGGAGATCCACCCACTCAGCCTGCAAGGAACAGTCTGGATCACTTTTCTTTTTATTTTCTCTTCTGATGGGAGTTGAGGGATCAGCTGTGATGTGGAGACAGCTCCTGCTGATGTCACCCTTCAACGCTGGGACATGAAGTGCACCGACTTTGCTCTCAGGCACAGGTTGGGATTGTTGGGGTGTCCTGTGCAGGACCAGGACTGAATGGTCCTTGGGGTGTCCCTTCCAGCTCAGCATATTCCATGATGCTGTGATCATCTCCCACCAGGGGAGGTTCAGGCTGGACATCAGCAGGAATTTCTCATGGAAATGGTGGGCAGGCTTTGGAAGGGGCTGCCCAGGGAGGTTTGGAGTCCCCATCCCTGCAGGTGTCACCTGGACGTGGCACTCAGTGCTCTGGGCTGGTGACAAAGTGAGGACTGGGCACATCTGGGACTCGATGGTCTTGGAGGGCTTTTCTAACCCCTCACTGTGGTTTAAGGACTTGGCCAGAGCTGGGGCAGGCAGGACCTTGCAGGCAGCACATTTCTTCAGGCAGGTTTCAGGAGAACTGACCGAACCACACGGGTGTTTGTGGGATGTTATGTGATTAAACATACAAGCCATTTTCCAGGGTTTTCTTCCTTTTCTTTCCCGGTGTACAAAGTTCTCCAGGTGACAAGGTTAAGCCCAAACTGGGGCAGATACTTTGAGCATGAGGAACTTGACTGGGGTTGTTTTTCTGCAAATTACGCAAAAGCAGCACTTTTAGCTGAATGGACAATGAAGTGGGACAGGGCCCTTCACCAGTGACCTGGAGCAGCTGGGCTCCTGCCAGCTCCCAAAATGCCTCCAACAGGGATGAGCCTGGCTGGGGCATGGCCACGAGGCCCTTGCACTCTGCCCTGTGTCCCAGAGGATGAGCTGCCAGGCTCCCCAGGGAACTACAAAGTTCTCCAGGTGACAAGGTTAAGCCCAAACTGGGGCAGATACTTTGAGCATGAGGAACTTGACTGGGGTTGTTTTTCTGCAAATTATGCAAAAGCAGCACTTTTAGCTGAATGGACAATGAAGTGGGACAGGGCCCTTCACCAGTGACCTGGAGCAGCTGGGCTCCTGCCAGCTCCCAAAATGCCTCCAACAGGGATGAGCCTGGCTGGGGCATGGCCACGAGGCCCTTGCACTCTGCCCTGTGTCCCAGAGGATGAGCTGCCCAGGCTGCCCAGGGAACGGGCACAGCCCGAGGCTGCCAGAGCTCCAGGAGTGTTTGGACACTGCTCCAGGGATGCACAGGGTGGATGGCTGGGGTTGTCCCCAGTGTCCCTCCATCCCTCCCCAGGATATTCCCCAGTGTCTTTCCATCCCTCCCTGGGACATTCCTCGATTGTTGGGGCTATCCCCGATGTCCCTCCATCCCTCCCGGGATATTCCCCGATGGTTTGGGTTATCCCTCCATCCCTTCCTGGGATATTCTCTGATAGTTTGGGTTATCCCTCCTGGGATATTCCCCTATGTTTGGGTTATCCCTCCATCCCCTCCTGGGATATTCTCTGATAGTTTGGGTTATCCCTCCTGGGATATTCCCCTATGTTTGGGTTATCCCTCCATCCCTCCCGGGATATTCTCTGATAGTTTGGGTTATCCCCCCCGGGATATTCCTCGATGGTTTGGGTTATCCCTCCATCCCTCCCGGGATATTCCCCGATGGTTTGGGTTATCCCTCCCGGGATATTCCCCGATGTTTGGGTTATCCCTCCATCCCTCCCGGGATATTCCCCGATGTTTGGGTTATCTCTCCATCCCTCCCGGGATATTCCCCGATGTTTGGGTTATCCCTCCATCCCTCCCGGGATATTCCCGCCGTGCCCTCGGGCAGCTGCCGGGCCGCAGTCTCGAACCCGCGGCCCCGGAGCAGCGGCGTTGGTGACGTCACGGGGCCATGGCGGCGCTGGCCGTGCTGGCTGTGGCGGCCGCGCTGGGCCCGGGCCTGGCCGAGCCCCGCTACCGCCCGGACTGGGCCAGCCTGGACGCGCGGCCGCTGCCGGCCTGGTTCGACCGGGCCAAGGTGGGGGTGTTCGTGCACTGGGGGGTGTTCTCCGTGCCGGCCTGGGGCTCCGAGTGGTTCTGGTGGCACTGGCAGGGCCAGCGCGATGCCGCCTACGAGCGCTTCGTGCGCCGCCGCTTCCCGCCCGGCACCAGCTACGCGGAGTTCGCGCCCCGTTTCACCGCCCACGACTTCCAGCCCCGGCAGTGGGCACAGCTCTTCCGGCGGGCCGGGGCCAGGTCAGCGCCGGGAGGGCCGGAGCGGGGGTCCCTGAGGGGATGAGTGCCATGGCCGGGGGTCCCTGAGGGGATGGGGGGGTCCCTGAGGGGATGAGTGCCATGGCCGGGGGTCCCTGAGGGGATGGGGGTCCCTGAGGGGATAGGGGGGCCCCTGAGGGGATGAGTGCCATGGCCGGGGGTCCCTGAGGGGATGGATGGTGGGTCTGGGATTCCCTGAGGGGATGGAGGAGCCCTTTCTGGGAATCTGTGAGGTAGTGAGAGCCCCTGTCACTGAGCAGATAGAAGAGCATCCCAGAGGAAACAAGGAGGGGTCTGGGGGTCTCTGAGGGGGTGGAAAAGCTTGGGAAGCATATGGGGCTATTCCAAAGAGGATGCAGGGGATGGAAGGGGCAAATCCGGGGGTCCCTGAGGGATTGGGGGTCCCTGAACAGTGCTGGACATCCCTGAGGGGTCGTGCCCAGGATGCTGAGGAGATGACAGGTCCTGCTCCTTGCTAAGTATTCACTGTTCATTCTTTCCCAGCATTAAAATCCACTAAAAGCCTCTCTTATTCTTGTATTTGCTTCTAAATCCAAGGGACAGTGACAGAGGGCTCCTCACAGTGTGGTTACCCAGTGCCTTGCTGTTTTAATGACTGACTTTGCAGTGGGGCTGGGAAATGCCTCCTTTGTTCCTTTGCCATCCCAACCAAGCCCTTTTCTCCTCTCAGATACGTGGTCCTGACCACCAAGCACCACGAGGGCTTCACCAACTGGGGGTCACCAGTGTCCTGGAACTGGAATTCTGTGGACACAGGGCCCCACCGGGACCTGGTGGGAGAGCTGGGAGAAGCCCTCAGGGAGAGGTACGGCCCTGCCAGGGAGCTCTGCTTTGAGAGCAGAGAATGCTCCTGGCTCTGCTTGACAAACAGCAGAAAACCCCAGTTCAGTGTGAGGAATGGAGTGCCTGCAAATGATGGAAAATAATAAAGCCAGTAATTTAATTTCCACTGCTTCTTAATCCCCACTGAAGCCTAACTCTTCCCTCTGTGTTCTGTCCTTCAGCAACCTCCGCTATGGGCTGTATCACTCCCTGATGGAGTGGTTTAACCCTCTCTACCTCGCTGACAAACAAAGTGGCTTCAAGACCCAGAGCTTTGTTTTAAAGAAGACCATGCCAGAACTTTATGACCTTGTCTTAAAGTAAGAGCCACAACCAGTTCAGAATCACCAGCATTTCCTGGTTTCAGTTCTGTAGGGTGTAAAAAGGTGCAAAGTGGGTGCAAAGAAGAGAAATGTTGATTTTTGCCGAGGCAAATTGTCTTTGCTAAGCAGTAATGATTTGTGGTAATTAGAAAAGGGGTTCACTTTTAACCTGTGGAAAGTCTAATCTGTAGAATAACCAGGGACAAATTTTTCCTGCAAAAGCATTTCTCTCTAATCCTGCTTCAGTGCAGGGTGGCTGGATGTGGAACAAACTGTTCAGTATTTAGTAGAATAGAAAAGTGATTTCACTGGGAATTTCCATCCTTGCCTGCTTCCCCTTGCTGACAAAAATAAAAGGTTTGGGCTTGTGGGTTGTTGTCCCAGCTCAAGAATGTGTCTCATAATCACCTTTGAGGTGCCAAATTCTGAGTTTTTTGGAAGACTGCACCTTCTCTTGAGCTGTGGATCAACACCTTGTTCTTTGCTGCTGCAAGAACCTCCCTTAGAGCTTTGTGTGAAGCAGAAAATGAAGCAAAAACCTCCTTGTGATGCCAGGCAGTGGGAAGGGGAAGCAACCCCACACCCGAGAAACACAGTGTGGCAGGAGCAGATGATCCATTTGGAAACAACATCTCTCTCCCTCAGATACAAACCAGACCTGATCTGGTCGGATGGGGACTGGGAAGCTCCAGATTCCTACTGGAATTCCACCTCCTTCCTTGCCTGGCTCTATAATGACAGCCCTGTCAAGGTACCACTGCCTGCTGCCCCTCCTGGCACGGGGTGGGTGTGGAAGGGCAGGAAGCTCTGGGCTGTGTGATCACACCAGAAACCTCCTTGACTTTTGGCAGGTGTGTTTTATTCTCTGACAAAAAGAGATGTGTTTTATTCTCTGACAAAAAGAGCACCTGACTGTGCTGCTGTGCCAGCCCCACTGACCTGTGCAGGATCCTCGGCTTTGTTGCCTCAGCTCCCCCCTGAGTGAGCAGAGGGAGGGATTCAGCCTTCTCCAGGAGGGTTTCCATTACACTGGGGTTCTTTAGGTGCTTCCTCAGGGGGGTGGCTGCCAGCTGGACAGCCCAGGAACAAAGGGGTCTGTGCCCTGAGCTGTTTTCCCTCTCTCAGGACACCGTGGTTGTCAACGACCGCTGGGGCCGGGGCTGCTCCTGCCACCACGGGGGTTTCTACAACTGTGCTGACAGGTACAGGCCAGGCTCCCTGCCAGAGCACAAGTGGGAGATGTGCTCCTCCCTGGACAGGCTCTCCTGGGGCTACCGCAGCAACATGAGCCTGCCCGAGGTGATGGATGAAATGAGTGTGATTGAGGTGAGAAACCTGAAATGGGAATGGCCGGGGGGAGGTTGCTGGGAGTGAGAGGCTTCTGGAGGGTGAAACTCCTCAGTCTCTGTGCTCTCTGAGGTGAAGGTAATGTTATCCTGCTTTATCTGCTGCAGGAGATGGTGCAGACTGTGAGTTTGGGTGGCAACTACCTCCTCAACGTGGGACCTACAAAGGAAGGGGTGATTGTCCCCATCTTCCAAGAAAGACTCCTGGCCCTTGGGAGGTGGCTGGACACCAATGGGGAGGCGATTTATGAGTCCCAGCCTTGGAGGGTGCAGATGGAGAACACCACAGACACAGTCTGGTAAGGGCTCTGCTGCTCACACCAGCTGATGCTTATTTCTTGCCTTTTCCTAAATTTGGAGCTGGGGGAAGTAGGTGACCCTTGTGTGGTGGCAGGAGGCCAAGCAGTGTTCTTGTGCTGTCTGGAAAGGTCGGGTTTGTGTCTGGTGCCCTTCACTGCTGAGCTCCTGCTCTCTCAGGTACACCTCCAAGGGACCTGTGGTCTTTGCCATCTTCCTGCTCTGGCCTCTGGACAGTGTCCTGCATCTCTCCTCACCCATTCCATCCCCAGGCACACGGGTAAGGGGCTGAGCATACACTGAGAGCATTTGGGGGCATTTTTGGGCAGGAGGGGCCAGCCTGGATTTGTTTGGGAGCTGGGGAGTGGGAGGCTGTGTGCTGTGGGCTCCTTGCAGCACCCCGGGCTGTTCCCCAGGCTTTGGCTCACATGGCCAGGGAGGATTCCTGCCCTGGAGTGTTCTGATGCTGCTGTGGCAGGGGAGGGAAGGTCCCCAGAGCAGCCCAGGTGCAGTGCCCTG